TAAATTTTTTCAAGACTACATAAAATACAAAATCATCCCTATAAGTTTTGGTGTATACGCTCAACACACTCTTTTACGCCGCTCATACATTCTCATTCGGGCTCGCTTTCACTCGGCTCTCACTTTTCGCATTCTGTCACTCCGGACAGCACAACAGCACAAAGGTCAACCGTTTGTCTGTGACGTCAGAGCCAGGGGGGGGGGAGAGACATTAGTCCACACTAGTTGAGCTGCTACTTGGGGGCGGGGGTTCAGGACAACAACAGCAACAACAGCCAACAGCAATAGTAACATCAACAGCAACAGCAATAGTAACAACAACAGCAACAGTAATAGTAACAACAACAACAGCAACAGTAACATCAACAATAACAGCAACACCAACGAGAACAGCAGTAGCTACAAGAATAACAACAACATCAACAATATCAACAGTACAGCAGCAGTAACATCAACAACAGCATCAACAGCAACAGCAAAAAAACAACACAGCAAATGCTACAAGAATACCATTAACATCAAGAACAAAACAACAACAACAACAACAACAACAACAGAAGCAACAGTAACAAAAACAACAATAGTAACAGCAACAACAAAGCCAATTGCTACAACAACAATAATAACAGCAACAATAACAATTTACAGAAGTTGCAAAAAATATAAACCACAACCACAAGATCAACAACAGCAACAACAACAACAACAAAAACAACACAAAAAAATGCTGTGCGCAATGTAACGAGTTCAGCTCCTTGATTCTCATTCACCTAATATACATATATAACAAATGGTCAAAAAGAAGTTCAGCTCCTTGATTCTCATTCACCTAATATACATATATAACAAATGTTAAAAAAAAACCCAACCAATTAATAAACCCCCCTCCCCCTCCCCCCTACATGTAGTCACTGACCTGACATGCTGCATGGTACATTGATGGTACAGTAAGTAGATAGAACAATCATAGAATCTAGGGTTTGTGGAGCAGGGTTAGAGGGCAACATTCTGTTAGTGGGGAAATTCTTCTGGAAAAATGACAGTGCTTGAAAGCCACAAGCGAAGCCATTGGAGGGTTTAACCAACTATAATAATAATAACAATAATAATAATAACAATAATAATAATAATAAAT